AAAATCAAGGGCTTAAGTTCTTTAACGAATAATTGTAAGAAAAAGACTTAAAAGGCAGATCAAGTTAATAAAAAGTGAGGGGCAGGGTGTACCCTTAGAAGATAGCAAGAAAAAGAAAAGCAACAAAAGTGACTTCATGAAAGTCAGGTTAGCGGTTACTTTTGGGAGGACGGAGAAACAAGGCTGTCATGGAGTAGGGCACAAGGAGGGACTTCTGGGGTGGCTGTCAGAGTTCTATTTCTTGATCCAGGTGGTGATTACAAGGGTGTTCCCTTTATAATAATTCATTAGTCTATATATTTGTTTTTTGTGGTTTTCTTTGTTTTATTTTACAACTATATATATATATATATATATATATATATATATATTTTAAAAACCACCACTTAACCTACAGTAAACAGTTTTTAAAAAACAAAAGAAGGTCCAAGTGAAGAGATCAGAAGCTATAAAATATTTCATATTGGGTGCAAACTAAACATAGAGCAAGCCAAAACCAAAAACAAACACCTCCTCCCCCATGCCCCTCTTTTTTACTTAAAGAACTGTGTAGGTATCTTCCAAGCCAATGAGAGATTCTTAACACACACAAGGGGAATATGTCAAAGGAACCGTGGGGCTGAGTTGCAGCGCTGGAAGATGTCTGAAAAAACCTTCCGGCACTAAAACCTTAGCCATGGTTTCGCTGACATCTTCATTTTACGGATGAGAAAACTGAGGCCCAGAGGCAGCCAGTGTCTTCTGCACGCTCACAAAGCTAGCATCAGCCCCTGACCTAAGGCCTGGCTCTCAGGATCTGGGACTAAGACACGCACCACGACAGCACCAGCTCGCTGACCGCCGCGTGCGGGGAGTAACTGGGGCGGTGCGGGGCCAGGGCGAGGAGGCGCGGGGTCTGACGCTCGGTTATGCTGCGGATTCTCCGCTCCCGACTCTCAGGCAGAGCGCGGGTGGGCGTGGCGGGAAGGGCAGCAGGTCCCCTCCCCGAGCGCTATGCAAATGTAATGCAAATAAGCGTATGGGGGATGGAGCGGCGGTTTGAGTGCTGACCCCGCAGCGCCGCGCTCTCTGTCGCTCGCCCCCGCGTGCGTCCGCTCTGCGCTCTCGCACTTACTAGCTTTCTCGCCGGGTCGCTCACCCCGGCCCCGCCCCGTCCCGTCCCGCCCCGCACTGCCCCGTCCGGGACGCTCCTCGCAGGCTCCGCGCGCTACCCGGTCGGTTGGCAGCCGGGCGCGGAGCGAGCGCTGAGCCAGCGCTGTGCGCCTGCGGCCGGGGCGCCCCGCGGAGCGCCGGCTCCCGGGCCGCCTTAGCCGCGCAGGTGAGTGAGCCCGCCCCACGCTTTTGTCCAGGCGCGGGCCCTGGGAGTCAAGGCTATGAGGGTGGGAGTTCTGGGTGGGGGCTGGGACCCCCACCGTCCCTGCCGCCCGACTCCCCTGCTGGAGAGGGGCTCCGAGGTGCGGTGAGGAGTCAGGGCGTAAGGAGACGACCCCAGTGACGCCAGGCTGCAGGAGTTTTCTTTTGCGGAGATGAAGTGCTTGGGGACAGTGATGCGATTGTCTCTCTAGGAATCATCCGAAGGGGATGCCTTTGATTTGAGGGGCAGGAGAAGCGGGCCCTTTTCTCAGCTCCCAGACCCTTGCTGGAGAAGTCGGTGACGGCCGCTAGGAAGGGGGTGCCACGTGAAGGTCCTTCCAGCCCAAATGTGATTCCGGGAAGGTAGGGCGGGGAAGGCGGCCGGCGGGTGCCAGACTGGCCATCCCAGGCGAAGCTGGGGCGCGGGCTTTGCGGACTTATTCCTACTCCGTACTTTTCACTTAAGCCCCTCGCCTCGCTCTGCCTCCTTCGCGCTAACTGATGCCATTGTTGAGGGACCTTGTTCGCCGATGATTGCGGTTGGAAAGTTTTGGATAAACTTCTCAGGAGATATGAGCTGTCAATGGTTGAGGTAGACCCCTTCCTGGAACTTATGGAGCTAAAACCCTTCAAAATCCAAAGGACTGAATTTCTAGGAGTGGCGTTGCAGATGCGAAGATGGGCTGATGGGGAAATGGTTTCTAGGATTGTTTTTAGATTGGGGTGTGTGTGTGTGTGTGTGTGTGTGTGTGTGTGTGTGTTGGGGGGCGGGGCACCTTCTATTTCATAATCAGAAGAAAAAGACCCAGCTCTAATGGAGTCTAGAGGGTGTAAAATTAGCTGTTGTGATTCAGGAGGCTGGGTGGGTGTCGGGAAGAACCTGGGCAGTGGGCGTGGTGCCAGGCCTCCTCTCCCCAAGTGCAAAGGCCAGAGTATATGCAGTGACCTCCCACCCCACAGCCTTTGAGAGCCTGCCCTGGAGCTGCATCCCCCTTCCAAGTGAGGCTGTGTTCTTCCACACCTGAATGGAATCCTTTTTGTCAAAATGCACAACTTGTCAGTAAATTATTTCCAAATGGGGTGCTTAGGAGGACCATTCGGGGAACTTCACCCATGCTTCAAAGCATCAGGAATTAACACTGCAAGTGTCTGGGAGAAGTGTAGTAACTAAATAAATAAAGTCTGGTAACTTTATTGGGTTCCTACAAGGCATTTAGGGTTCTAAGAGAACTGTTTTTCTCCCTTTCTTTCCCTCTTGCCCTGTATTATCTGTTTTCTTTTCTCTTAAAATTCTTGACTTCCTTCTCTCATTTGCGATTCTCTAAGTCTCTTCCCCACCCTGCACACTGTGGGACTGTGGAGGATGATGCTGTTGGCACCATAGTGCCCTAGAGCATCATGGAATTTTCCTTCCTGCTCAGAGTGACATTACCCCTTTTTCTCCAAGTCTCAGTGGGCCAGAAGCCTTGGGCTGGGGCAAGTAGGAGCCTGAGCAGTTGGTCCTGGGTCCGGAGCGGTTGGACTCTGGATGCTGGATTGGGTAGTGGGTACTCTGGGGACATGCACAAGAGCTTCGTTTGCCAAGATGTACAGGTCTGTTCCATTGCTCACTGATGATACAAAGGATGCTGGGCCTTCTTTGCAGCTAGGCATGAGCTTGGAGAACTACCCCATGGTGGTGAAGCATTTATGCTTGTTCATCTCCCATGTTCAGTTTCTTTTGTGTAATAATTGGCTAGTTGAGGAGGAGGGTAGCTGCAGCCTTGTAGGTGTTTCCTTGTCTTACTTTTATCTTTTATGTTGAGACAGGGCCTGGCTGTGTTGCCCAGCCTGGAGTATAGTAGCGTGATCTCAGCTCACTGCAGCCTTGACCTACCAGGCTCAAGCAATCCTCCCACCTCAGCCTCCTGAGTAGCTGGGACTACAGGTGTGCACCACCACACCTGGCTAGTTCTTTTTTCTTTCTTTCTTTCTTTCTTTTTTTTGGTAAAGATGGGGTCCCACCATGTTGCCCAGGCTAGTCTTCAACTAATGGGCTCAAGTGATCCACCCACCTCTACCTCCCAAAGTGTTGGGTTACAGGCCTGAGCCCCGGCACTTGGCCGGAGTAGTTTCTGTTTGTGTGAGATTCACTTACCCCTTCAGCAGGGTCTGCTTCCCCTGGGTCCAGATATTAGAGAACACGCACAGAGCAAACTAGGTCTTGGGACATTCCTGGTCTAACTGGTAAGGTCAGGTGGCCCCACCTGCTGTCCAAACATGGTAGACAGACAGCTACAGTCACTGCAGAGTAGGGGCTTCTGGCTGGCAGGTGGTGGGGGAGTCTGTGAGAAGGCTTGTCAGAGAAGGAGGTGACCCCAGATGGTGCAGAAAGGAGAGGCATTTGAGTGCCAAGGTTGGGGAAAGGTTCTGGGGTCTCTGCTAGGAAGATCTTTACTGTCCTCAGCGGCATAGATTGTGAATGCACTGGGCTCACTGTGTACTCAGTGTCTTTGAGAATGACCTCTGGGTTTTATCCTTAAAATATAAGATGAGCCTAGAGTTTGAAGCACTAGTTGGCTTGTCTGTCTTTTAGGAAGTTCATAAGGTGGGGGGTTTTGCTTGGGGATTAGGGAGCCAGTGTCCCATGAATGTGGAGAATCTTATTTAGTATCTTTCTGAGAACAACACTTCTTGAGAGTCTGGAAACATAAGTCTACTTGGAAGCCCAGCTGCACCTCTAGTGGCTCAAACCAACCCACACAGGCTGGGAGATTGTTCATTCTTAAAAGCTTCCTGTCCTATCTTTTCAGCAAATGTAAAATTTAGAAACAAAACTTGAAAAGTATCCTTTCCCAACAGAAGACAATGTCCTTGCCCAACTTGGCCAACAGAGGGTGCATGCAGAGGACACAAGGCAAGGCCATTTGCATGGAAAATGTCCGTGTGGATACTCAGGCCTAAGCGGGGTCTACTGGGGACTTGAGTGCTCAGAATCAAGGAACCATTCAGCAGTGAACCATAGTGGGACAGAGCGATGTCACTGCCATGAGCTCCCATGCCATGTGACTTCTATCTCTTCCCTGTGCTCTCCCAGCCTCCTGCCCTACAAGCCGGCAGACTTGGCTGTGCTGGGCAGCAGCCCTGGTACAAGCCACGCCCCTCTCCCACCTGCACTGTTCTGCACATGGATTCTCTTTATTCTTTCTTGAGTTTTGGCTGCGGGCTTTTCCATTCGTTTGAAACCAACAGGCTGAGCAAATGCATTCTCCTCACAAACTCAAGGTGGGTGGACCTCCATGTTTGCACTGCAGGCCAGCAGGTGCATCCCTTTTCCTTGTTGTATGCACCTGGTGTGTGAGGGCTGCAGCCCCCAAGAAATTTACTACGACAGCCAGCCCAGTGGGCTGGGTCGGGGGAGGGCCGGCAAAAGTTGTTCCCTCATGGGCTCGAGGGTAAGGCTGTGTTTCCAGAGGCTCACACCACCTTCTTTTCCCTGCCTTTCTGCTCACTGTGCCTCAGTGTCTGAGGGTGAATGGGCACCCCACTAGGGAGCTGTGGAAATTTTTGTGTAGATCCACTTTCTCAGATTTCCCATGTTTTCCCCATCCCCCCGCTTTTGGTACTTTCATGCCCCCTTCTACCCTCCCCTCCTCTCCTTCCCTGGGTCTTCAGTGCAGAGCCCTCTGGAGACAGAAAGTCCCTTTGGAGACAAAAGAAAAGGGATGAGGAGAGGATTTCCTTTTCTTTCAGATCTGCTTCTTGATTTTTCCCCCTGGCTATGGGCACTCAGATCTGATGCTCATTTGTTAATCCAGGACCTTATGTGTTATTTCTCCTAATCTTGGGGGAACTAAATACTGGCAACTTAGGGCTTTTATAGTTGAGGATGCTGTTTACCTTTCCCGTTTTCAGGGATGAGGATTTCTGATGTAGTTCTCCTTCAGGTTTCTGGCAGGAGGAGGCAGCCAGGCAGAATGTGATCTTTGGTGTTAAACTTGGGTTCAGTTCCATCCCGTTCACTTGCTGACTGGGAGTTCTTGGGCATAAACACAAAAACTTTGTTTTATGTAAGGTGACTTGAGTTTTGTCATCTGACAGTGAGGGCAGTTATAGAAATTAAATGAATATATGAACATAAATAGGCATAAAACAAAGAATAGCTTTTATTATATGTACTGGGCAGTGTTCTCCAGGTCTATGGAATGACTTATAAATCAACCAGCAAACACTAATGATGTACCTACTTTCTATTGAGCTCTGTGGAGGGTAATAAAACAAAGGTGGTGCGCCTATGCTGAGAGACTCCGGGTCTGTAGCAAGAGAGCTAACACATAGGAAGTAACTAGAAAACAGGGACAACATGTAATTTCCAAGTTTTGTTAAGAGAATTAAAGGATGGCCAGAAATTCAGGGGATAGAGTGTTGGGGGAAGGCCTCAAAGATGGGGAAGAGGAAGGGAGGGTGAGCATTTGCCAGGAGAGAGGAAGGCAGGAACATTTGGCTCCTGGGTCTGAAGGCTCTCAGCTCCTTCTTTGCTGGGCCCTGGCACAACGGACCCTGCGGCGTGCTCCCAAACCTGCAGGTGTGCTTGTCCTGAGGTTTATTTTGGGGGTGGTTTTCATTCTGGCCTTGTTTTCCCTCTGCTGCCCAGAATATTTCTGAAACGTCTGAAATTGTTTTATATTACACTCAATCAAAAATAACAAGAAGCAACTGGATGGCCAGAGTGAAAGCCCAGGCCCGTAGCAGACTTTTGGTTTTCTGGGGCTTTGTGTTCTCTTTTCATGCCTCATATATTGTAGCTCACATCCTAGTTCTGGAATCACAGGGTGTTAGGACTGAGGGTCAAGTCCACCTGACCTTTGCACTGGACCGAAGAGGAAACTCTGGCCTAAGAAGCCAAGTGGTGGCTGGGCGTGGTGGCTCATGCCTGTAATCTCAGCACTTTGGGAGGCCGAGGTGTGTGGATCACTTGAGGTCAGGAGTTTGAGACCAGCCTGACCAACATGGTGAAACCCCATCTCTACTAAAAATACAAAAAATTAGCTGGGCATGGTGGCAATTGCCTGAAATCCCAGCTATTTGGGAAGCTGGGGCAGGAAAATCACTTGAACCTTGGAGGTGGAGGTTGCAGTGAGCCAACATTGTACCATTGCACTCCAGCCTGGGCGACAGGAGCAAGACTCCATTTCAAAAAAAAAAAAAGAAAAAAAGAAGCCAAATGGTAAGCCAGCATCAGCCCAGAGTTCTCATCACTATCTATACTGCTGGAGGATGGTGATAGTGTGGGAAGGTGAATGGCCTGACTTCGGCAGGAAGAATGGATACACATTGGTTCCATCATTTGCCCCACCTACTTCTCTAGAGTCCTTGAAGGCTTTCCTCTTTAGTCTGAGGGTCCTATGGGGAGCAGGAGTGAATGCCTTCCTGTACCTGGCCTGCGATCACTCCCATCTGTTTCAGGGCACCTGAATACCAAGCGTCTGCACATATGCATTCCACCTACCCTCTAAGTCTTATTCCTCATCCTACTTAACACCCAGACTCAAAACCTGTAGTGGACACTATATCCTGGGTCAGTCTTGACTGGAATGCACCATCCTTCACAGGAATGTTCACCCTTATGAACAGTCCACACTGCCCCCGGAAAGAGTGCTGTTCCCCTTTCCTGGGGTTAGACTAGAAGGAATGTCTTCTGAGGCTGTGGGAAACACCAGGTTTGGAGTCTAGCTCCAGCACTGTCCCCTGCTATGTGAGGTCTCTTCAGGCCTCAGATTGCGCACCTTTAAATGGACAGAGAAGCCCCTCTCTACACATTTGATGGGGCTGTAAGCAGATGAACACGTGCTTGGCAACCTGTGCTTGTGATGCGGTCATAAGGGTGGTGTGCTGCTAGGCACTGTGCTCCTGGAGGTCACAGGCTCTGGTTCGTCTTGCATCCTTACTCACAGCCTGGAGCCTGGCACAGTGCAGGTGCTTGGCACATCTAGGTAGAAGGATTGGCTAATGGGGTAAATGGATGTGCTCAGAGAATATTCAAAGGGATTTGCTGTCTGCTGCTCCATAAGAAGGCACTTTGCACTCATTCACCTCACTTCTTCAGTTATGTCTTTTATAGGGCTAGGTATAAGCTCATTCTAAATTTTCTCATGAGCTTTAGGCATCTTCCCAGGTAAGTACTGAGTCCGTTAATAGAACATGACTCAAACAGATCTATTGCTAACCTTCCCGATTATCCAAGTTAAATCCCCATTTGATATTTTCCTATTAGTGTCAACAGAGTGAACATTTTTGTAGTCACTTGGTTGCTAATCCTGTGGAGATGAGTATTCTCATGAGGAAGCAGCAGGTGTTTTAGAATGTGCCTGGAGGAACACAGTTCTTAAGTTGCAGACTGCTTATGATTACTACCAAAAGCTCCTGCTCTCCAGTAGTTGCTCACGGTATACCTGATACAATTAACACAGTTGATACTGATTTTACCCAATGGCGTGTTTTAGGGAGTTCTCAGGCTTCTTGTTTTGTTTGGGCAGCTGCCTAGGGGCTCAGCTCCTCCCCTGTGGGCCTGCTGATTACCCCAGGCAGAGAAACACTTGGTTTTACTTTCATATTACTATTTTTCCTGATTAGGCCATCACTAGCTCACACTTCGAGTATTAACTGTATAATTTATGGGCTTCTCCGTGGCCCAAATACATCATACACTTGATGGCTTTGTTGATCTTAAAGCATAGTCTGACTGTGTCACCACCTTCAGAAACCCCCCGGTGGCTCCCTGTTTTACACAGGACACCCTTAAGCTGAAGTTCACAGGCCTCTATAATCTGACCTCCAAGTCCAGTCTCACAGCAGCCACCCTCATACTCCTTGATCCACTACATCCAGACTTCTTGTCTCAGCTCAATTTATACTTTCCTGTGTCTCTGACTCTGATTGTGAGTTCATCCTCACCTGGAATATTCTTCGCTTGCCTCTTTGATTGACAGGTTCTTCTATCCTTAAATATTTGTTCAGGGAATGAGTTAAGTTCCTGACACCTGTCAGATACTGCCCCCAGAGGCTGCCTCTGACCTTTTGAGCCTCAACTTCTCTAGAAACAAGTCCCTGTAAAATTCTTTTTACAGAGGAAAGTCATAAATTATTATGGTATGTTTTTGTCATTTGTTTAAGTTTTCTCATGCTCAAATTTTATATCTGTAACCACACTGAAAAAACTTCAAGGGAGGGACATGTTAATGTCTCTGCTTCCTCATAGCAGTGGTTCCAGAACTGGCTGATAACAAAATCTCTTTGGAAACCTTGTTTGAAAAATAATCTGTGGCTCCTCAGTCCCAGCCTGTACTACTTTGGTGGGGTCAGGGAATCTCTGTTTTTACAAAGCTTTCCAGGTGATTCTGATGTCAAACTGATAAATTGTCATATAGACAATTTTAGAAAAGTTTCTAAATTATAATATACCTTTATTTTTCGAATTGCATACCAGTTTTTCATGATTACCATAATGAAAATATAAAGATCTTTCTGAACTGTGTTATAATCTATCAGAGTTGCATATGATTTCGAGGTGAAATGCTGTTTTTCATAATCTGTACTCATGACTTTTGAATGTTGATGCGTTCTTGCTTTCCTGGAATAAACACTTGGTCATAATGTATAGTTTTATTTTTTTTAATACCTTAGTGACTTTGATTTTCTAATATTTGATTTTGTTTTTTTTTTTTACATCTATTGTCCTAAGTGAGATTGAACTATTAATTGTCTTTGCTTCCCTTGGCCACTTTTGTATGTGCCCACAATTTTGACATTTTTGACACCTTTAGGATTGACAGAATAAGTCTGAGGAATATTAAAATCTAATAGCGTTTTATTTACATTTCCTTTAGATTAAAATTTGAGTTCTGGCTTTTCTGTAAGTAATATTGCTAAAAGTTAGGTACCTTTTTCTAAAAGTTAACTAGAAGCTTTGAAAAAAATAAATATTCAATATCCACCTGATCTTCTGTTGCATGTAAATCAGTCACACCAACTTTTCCTAGCTTCGGTGTATTCTGGTCTGGGAAATTTGGCAATTTCTACTGTCTTTTGATTTCATTGTTTGACAAATGATAGGCATTCTCCCAGGTACACAATAACTTTTCTTTTCAATGCTGCATCATAATAGGTTTTTATTGAAGGCTTTCTTTCTCATGTAAAATATAGGTATAATTCATATACAGTAAAATCTACCTGTTCAGAATGTACAGTTTGAACAATTAGTACACAGTTATGAGGAAGTTTAGTTCTGAGTTTTGACAAATGCGTATAGTTACGTAGGCACCGTCACAACTGAGGTACGGAGCAGCTCCATCACCTCCCAGAATCGCCTTAGGTGTTTGTTGTTTGACCTTCCACCACCTGCAGACCTTGGCAGTCACTGATCTGCTTTCTGTCCCTGTGTTCTTTCCTATTTCAGAATGTCATATAAATGGAGTCATGGTTTGTAGACTTTTTAGTGTGTCTGCTTTCACTTAACATTAATGTGTTTGAGATTCATCCATGGTGGTGGGTGTATCAGTAGATCATTTGTTTTTGTTGCTGAGGATTATTTCATTGTAAAGATGTATCACCATGTATTTACCTGTTTCCCAGTTGAAGGACATTGAATTGTTTCCAGTTTGAGGTGGTAATGAACAATTCACTAACAATATTTGTGAACAGGGCTTTATGTGAACATAGGTTTCATTTCACTTGGGTAAACATCTAGGATTGGGGTTTCTGGGAGGCATGGTAAATGTAATAGAATACCAAACTGTTTCCAAAGTGGCTATACCATTTTGCATTCCTGCTAGTAATATATGAAGGTTATACTTTCCACATCTTTATCAGCACGTGGTATTGTCAGATTTAAAAATTTTAGATGTTCTAATAGGTATAGTTTTATCATATTGTGTTTTTAATTTGAATTTTCTTGGTGACTAATGATGTTGAACATCTTTGTACTTATTTGCCAAACATTTGGTGAAGTATTTGTTTAAGTCTTTCACCCAAGTTTTACTGGATTGTTTGTTTTCTTATGATTGAGATTTGAGAGCTCTTTATATATTTTGGACATTAATCTTTTATAGGGTGCATGTTTGGCAAATATTTTCTTGCTGTCTGTAGCTTGTCTTTTCATTCTCTTTAACAATGCCTGTTACTGCATAACAGAAGTCTTTAATTGTGATGAAATTCATCAATTTTTAAAAAATGTGTTATGCTTTTGCTGTTATATCTAAGAAACACTGACCTAATGGGAAGTCATTAAGATTTTCTTCAATGCTTTATTCAAGATGTTTTACAGTTTTAGGTTGTGCATTTAGTTCTGATCCATTTAAGTTAATTTTTATACATGATGTAAGGTATATGTAGATTCTGTTGCACATATGAATGGCCAATTGTGTTAGCACCACAGTGAAAAGATGATCCTTTTCTTAATGAATTGTCTTTGTACCTTTGTTGAAAATCCGTTGAGCATCTATGTGTGGGTCTATTCCAAGTATTCTGTTCCATTGGTTTATGTATTTATTCTTTCAATAATACCACACTGTATTGATTATTGTAACTTTATTGTAAGTTTTGAAGTAAGGAAATTTGAGCCATTCAACTTAGTTCTTTCTTTTCAAAATAGTTTTGGCTATTACATATTTTTGGCCTGACATATAAATTTTAGAATTATATTGTTGGCTTCTGCATAAAACCCTGATGGAAATCTGATTGGTATTGCACTGAATCTATAAATCAGTTTGGAGAGAATTGACAGCTTAACAATGTTGGGTCCTTGAGTACATAAATAAGCTATATTTCTCCATTTAGGTCATCATTGATTTCTTGATCAATATTTTTAGTTTTTAGCATATAAATAGTATGTTTATAGCTATCTATTTCATGTTTTGGCACAGTTTTAAATTGTACTTTTAATAAAATTCTGTTTTCCAATTGTTCATTGCTAGTATTTATAAATATAATTGATTTAGTATTTTAATGGACTTTTTAAAAACTTAAATCAGAACCAAGTACACCAAAATATGTACTTGCAGAGTTTGAAAATTTAATGTGATTAGTAGCTAGGTAAATCTAATGTGTAACTTAAACAATTCAAAGGCTGGGATATAAAGGCAATTTACAGCCCTCATCAACTCTTAACTATTTCCCTGAGCTTCTGTTTGTTGATTTTTGTTTGTTGACCTTATATCTCTTTTGACCTTTCTAAACTGACTTATTGGTTCTTGTAGCTTTTTTTCTAGATTCTTTGAGCTTTTCATCAGAGATAATCATGTCATCTCTGAATAAAGGCAGTTTTATTTATTCAATCCCGATTTCTTTGCATCTGTTTTTCTGGCTTTATAGTGCTGGTTAGAATTTCCAGTAGAATGTTAAACAGGAGTGGTGAAACAGACATCATTGCCTTATTTCCAATCTTAGTTGGCAGGCGTTGAGTCTTATATCATCTTGTGTGATATTAGTCATCGTTTTTTTGTGGATGCTTTTTATCAGGTTAAGGAAGTTTCCTTCTAGCTTGCTTAGATATTCTTTGTCCTCATCATGAATGAGTAATGATTTGTTCAAGTGCTTTTTATGGATCTATTGAGATAATCATATTTTTTTCTTTTGTCCATGAGTTGACAAACTTTTTTATAAAGGGCAGTGTGAGAAAAATAAGAAATATATGTTTGGCCTTTATTTTCAGTTTCTGGCCTAGAGCTTCTAAAACCCTGGGAATTTCCTGAGTGAGAGTGGTGAGAGGAATATCTTTGGTTATTCATAATAACTCCCTTTCAACCATACCTGAATTTATGCTGGTGAGGTGAAACTTGGTGGGTCCCTATATAGCCTCAGGATTGGAACTGATTGTCGGAGGAAACAACCATGTAATTAGAAGGTTGGAACTTTCAGCATACCCCACCCCAACATCTAGGGAGGGGAGAAGGGCTGAACACTGAGTAAATCCCTAATAGCCAGTGATTTAATCAATTATTCCTGTGTAATGGAACCTCTGTAAAAATTCCTAATCAAAGGGGTTTGGAGAGCTTTGGAATTGACTAAGCACACTAAGATGCTGGCAAGGTGCTGGCAGTGCCTGGAGAGGGCATGGGAGTTCCACACCCATTCTCAAATATCTTGTCCTATGTATCTCTTCCATTTGGCTGTTCCCAGGTTGTATCCTATAAAATAAGCTGGTAAATATAAGGAAAGAAGGCTCTCAAGTTCAATAACCAATGTAACAAATTATCAAACCCAAGAAGGGGGTCATGGGAATCCCTGACTTACCGTCAGTTGGTCAGAAGTATGAGGGGCCCAGGACTTGTGATCAGCATCTGAAATGGAGGCCTTAAGCTGTAGGATCTAACACTAACTCAAGGTTGATAGTGTTAGCATTGAATTGGATTGTAAGACACAGCTGGTGTCTGAAGTGAGACTTGGTTGGTATATGGAAAGAAACTCCATATAGCTGGGTGTCAGAAGTGTTCTGGGAGTTAAAATCAGGTCATAGTAGCCAGATAACAAATATTGTAGGTTTTGTGGACCATAAGGTACTTTATTCAACTCTTTGCTCAACTCTCATAAATCTCCTCTACTCAATGATTCAGCTCTGCCATTGTAGCATAAAAACGGCCACAGACAATAGTTGGCTAGGTGAATGGATGTGGCTGTGTTCCAGGAACCTGTATTTATAAAAACAGGCTGTGGGTTGGATTTGGCCTGCTGGTCCTAGTTCGCCTAGTCGTAGTTTGCTGATCCCTGCTTTAGTCTATTGATATGTGGAAATACAGTAATTGATTTTTAAATGTTTAACCAGCCTTACATTCCCAGAATAAACTCCACTTGTGCTATATTATTAATCTTTTTATATATTGCTGGATTTGGTTTACTCAATTTCGTTGAAGTTTTTTGTGTCTATGTTCATCAAGGACATGGATCAATGTCTTTGCCTGGTTTTGCTGTCAGGGTATATTGGTAGCCTTATGAGTTGGGAGGTATTCCTTTCTCTTCTATTTTCTGGAAGAGTTTGTATAAAATTGTTATTTATTTCTGAAATTTTTGGTAGAATTTACCAGTGAACACACCTGAGCCTGAAATTATTTTGTAGAGTGGTTTTCAACAGCAAATTAAATTCTTTAATAAATATAGGACTGTCCAGGTTATTTGTTTCTTCTTGAGTGATTTTCAGTAGGGGTAATTTAATTAAAAGAAGATTTATAAGTGTTCATAATATTAACATATCGTTTTAATTTTACTAGGAATTGTAGTAATGTCTTGTTTCCTATTCCTGATATTCATAATTTGTATCTTCTCTTTTGCTCTTGGTCAATCTGGCTAGCAGTTTGTGAATTATATAGGTTCTTTGAAAGAACCAGCTGTTTGTTGGTTTCACTGAGTTTTCTCAATGGTTTTTTTTTTTTTTTTCAAATTCATTGGTTTATCTGCTTGTTTGGGTTCAGTTGCTCTTCCTTTTCTAGTTTGCTAAAGTGGATGCTTAGATCATTGATTTGAGACCTTTATTCTTTTCTGATAATAGAGTTCTCCTTTTCTGGGACAATTGGGTTGGGAAAGGGGACATGGAGGTGTAGAACCAGTTTTCCTACCTCTAAGCATTTATTAGGAGAGCTTTAGTAAAAGCCTTACCAGCAGAGAGCCCTGAGGCGTCTGCCTGGGGGTGGACCAGTGGGAAGGAGGCAAAGGGTCACACCATGGGCTCTTTTCTTCATGGGAAGCAGTGGCCTGGTCTTCCCACCCTGACAGTCTAGGACCCTAACGCTCTTCTGACTCCCAGCATGGTTTGTAGGAAAGAGGAAAAGGAATTGGAGTTGCTGCAGTTTTTTTGGATGAAAGGGTTCTTTCCTAATAGTTTAGACCAGGAGTGGGTGAACTTTTTCTGTAAAGAAGCTGATACAGATAGTAAATATTTTTAACTTTGCAGGCTACACCATCACAGATATTCAGCTCTGCCATTGGAGCATGGAAGGAGCTGTAGATAACATGTAAATGAATGGGTATGGATGTGTTTCAGTAAACCTTGGTTTACAAAAAATAGACAACAAGCTGGATTTGGCCCATGGGCCATAATTTGCCTTCACCTGCTTTAGTCTGCTAATGTAATGAATTACATTGATTGATTTTCAACTGTGCCAGATAAATTGTTTTCCTGAAATAAATTCCACTTGGTTTAGAGCATCTGGTCTGTACTGGCCCTGTCTTTGTTCCTCAGCTTGTGTTGTCACTGAGCCATGAGCTTCTCAGGGGTAGGGCCACAATAAGGCCATTTCTGATCTCCTGTCAGGTATATGGTGGATGGCTAGTGAACCTTTGTGGCTGGGTGGAAACACCGGTGCACTTCAGGAGCACTCTGCTGCAGCTTCCTTTTTGGATCCCCTCAGGAGCATAGAAGAAATGGAGGTTGTGTGGAGGAGCTGGGCTCAAGTGCTGTTATTGCAGGCCCCAGGCTGATCCTTCATTTTGAGACTATTTTAGAAATGTGACTCATGTTTGGCCTGTGGGGTGTTACTTTCTAATTACTCTGTCCTTTTCCTGGGGATGTGGTTGGCTCTACAGCTGGCAGGCTCAGGAACTCAGGCCTCCAGGTGCCAGCCCAGTGCTGGTGTTCTAAAAGGGCTTGACTGAACCCTTTCCAGGACCATGGCTTTCTAAATCCTTTTATAGAGGGGTGTGCCTGTGTGTGGGAAGGGGCACAGCAGGAGGGGCCAGGCCCTTCTGGCTACTAAATGACCTTCATGTCTGTGGAGTGTGGACTAGATAAAGCCATGTAACACGGCATGACAAACAGATTTTGCACAGGTAGACTGCATCATCCATCTCAGCCGCTTTTCCTAATTGATTGGGAGGGCTGGGTGGGTGGTTGATGGGAAGGGTCTGGAGCTAACAGACCTGAGTTTCAATCCCAGCTCAAGAATGGATTAGATGGGTGGATCTGGGCACTTTAATTAACTATGCTGAACTTCATTTCACTCCCTTATAAAATGGAGATGTAACAACCTCCCAGAATTGTTGTGAGGGATATGTTAAGTCCCTCACTTTCTCTCCTGGGATGAGAGAGGTAAGCAGAGTGGTGGACAAGAGAAGTGCCAAACAAATTGAAAACATCCTGGAGGGATCCATTTGCAGACTGGGATATGGAGAGGGTGTGCTGTTTTTTTTTTTAATCTAGAATATTTCTGAGCTGAAAGGCGGGGAGAGGTGATTTAAGGGCTGAGTGTCTGATTCTGCTCTGGAGCAAGACCACCACCAGGTCTGGGTGATGCCTTGGGTTGTTTGGATCTCTTGTTTTTCATTGTTCAGCCAGGTTCACTGGGATGGGAACCTGGAGCTGTGCCAGTCCTGGTTTAGTAGAATCAATTGCATAATTTCCTTGGATTTCATGGGAAAATTTAAGGCCCCTTGGACCTGTTGATAATAATAACTCTCCTTATGACCACCCAGCGTGGGAGGAGTGAGGAGAGTCACCTCCAACTGATCAGAACACCCTCACCTTTTCATGTGTTCTGAGGTCTCTCCTTTCCTCTTGCCAATGTTCCAGACCCTTTTGCGCAGCTGTTAGGGGAGGAGGACCCTGCTTTCCTGCAGAGAGTCCATGAGTTAAGGGCACTACTGCTCCCAGGCCACCCTGCTCACCCTAGACTGAGGCCTCATTGCTTTCTGGAACAATCATAGCTCATGCAACTTGTTAAGGATCGGGAACTAGATAAAGTTCCACTGTTGTCAGCCTGAGATAATCTTGTGTTATTGTACCTGAAAACAGTATTGAAACACAGATCTTATTGTGACACCCCTGGTTAAAGACAATGTTAATCCCCTACTACATAAAAGACAAAATATCGATTAGTCAACATGGCATGTAAAATAGGCTGCAATTAGGCCTGCCACATAAAACATTCCATTATTATTTTGCCATAAGTACTTCTCATTTGGATGATGTTTTACAGTTTACTTGTTTTCACACAATTTGCATTTAATCTTTGTCAGTCTTACGACATTGTTCTTGTTCCCTTTTTGTAGCTGGTGGCCCAAAGTTTAGGGGGATTAAAAGGAACTTGTCCAAGATCAGATGGCCACAGTAAAGTCAAACTAAGCACAGGGCAGAAGTGAGTGCTCACTTGCTGCTTCCTCACTCTACGACCTTGAACAAGTTTATTTATCTATGAAGAATCAGGGCTAATACAACTAACTTGTAAAGTTTCTGTGAGGATTAGCAAAGTGCTTGGAGAAATGCCTGACACATAGTAAGTGCTCAGAAAATGTTGGGTGGTATTATGATCCTCTCTGTTAATTATTCCACAATTAATGTTTCCAGTTTTTAATTCCACTATTATGAGTAATACTGTTATAATTATCTTTGTCCAAAAAGTTTATTTTTTCTGTTGTATTATTTCCTTGGATTGTATTCCAAGAAAAGCATTATAAGGGCAAAGATACGATCCCCTATTTTTGCTTTTGTTCCATATTGCCAACTAGCCCTTAAGAAGGATGGTTCCCATTTAAAAGGCTGCTACTAGACCCATGAGAGTGCACTCTGTCCCACAGGTGGTACTTCTATATAACCTCTCAGACCATCAGAGGGCCTATAACCAGTCATTTATCAGTCATTGGGGGTTATAATTACCACCCTCCAGAAAGACCAACAGATCGTAGACTGGTTCGAGCTAAACCTTATAAACTAGGTTGTGCCTCCAGCAAGACAGGATCCGGCTAATCAGCAAACTGTACTAAAAACTCTAGAAATGGCTGACCTCTCACCTCACTTTCTGCAGGACTCTGTGGGAGTCTGCATGTGCACAGGAGGTAAATGTGAAGGAGGGGTGTTGGGGGAGGCGGGAGCTGCTTATGAGCTGTGGACCTGAGGACTGTAGGGAGGAAGACTGCATGGGAACCATGAGTGGCTTCAGACTGTTTTATGTAGGAGAGTGTAGGTTTGTTTGGGCTGCTGTAACAAAGTTCCACAAGCAGCTGGAAAGTCATTTCCTCACAGCTCCAGAGGCTGGAAGTCTGAAATCAGGGAGTCAAACAGTGCCAAGCTTTCCTCTGGAGGCTTGGAAGGATGCTTCCTTGACTCTTCTGGCTTCTAGTTGCTGCCAGCCGTCCTTGGCATGCCTTGCCTTGCATGTCTATCACGCCATCTTCACATGGACTTCTCCCCTCTGTGTCAGTGTGTGTTCACATGACATCCTCCTCTCTGTGTGTCCGCACCCAGATTTCCTCCTGTTTTTTGTTTGTTCGTTTTTAGGATACTAGTCATTGGATTAAATTCCACCCTAATTCAGTATGACTTCATCTTAACCGAAAAGACTCTATTTCAAAACCAGGTCACATTTACAGGTACCAGAGGTTAGAACCTCAGTAGGATTTTTGGGGGGACACAACCCACTACAGATGGACTGGGAAGAGAAAATGGAAAGTGTCCATTTTTCAGAGCACAGACTACACTGTGGATGGGGCTGTTGGTGGAGAAGATTATGGACAGTGGTAGTGCCACTGGTAAAAATGCTGGACAGTTGTCTGGGGCCAGTGATGTTTCTGTTCTTCACCTTCCCAGCCCTGCTTACCCTAAGGATTTGTCATAAAACTAGTCAATGATAAGGATTAGGGGCTTCTAGCTGGGGTGATGCAGCCAAAGGAGAAAGAGCCTAGCCCCCGAGGGAAGGCGTGTTCTAGGAGCCAGTGGGGAGTTGTAACACAGGACTGGGCAGACATACAGATCTCAGGTTAAGTCTCAGTCTACTTGGAACACCATGGCCTCAGTTTCCCCCACTGAAGGGTGAGGAGGGAGGGACTGTATAGCTTCTGAGCTCCCTTTCTGTTTGGCATTACATAATTCTAACTGGAGAGGTAGCAGTTTAGAGACACCCAGTCTCCTTGACCTTAAGGGTTGTCCTGAGGTCTGTCTGGGCGATGAGGTGTGAGCCGCTGATACGGGTGGTACTGGGGAGGAAACAATGTGGTCTTTCCCACCCCAGGTATTTCCAACAAGACTTTATTTAAGTCACCTCTCCACGAGGCCTTTCCTGGCCACCCTCTGTAACGTTTTAACCTCACCCTGATATTTCATGTCCCCTTGTCCAGCTTTATTTTTTTCTCCTTATACTTATCCCCTGTCCAACCTGGTTTATATTTTATGTATTTTCCTCACTGGTTGTCTGTTTTTTCCACTAAACAGTAAGCTCCTTGAGGGCAAGAATTTTTATCCAGTTCTAAAGTACTGCCTGTCACATACCAAGCCCTCCATACGTATTTGTTGAATAAATGAAGGTGTGGTAAACTTGATAAATGGGATGAAAGTTTGAAGAGGGTGTACCAGTTATAGTCTTTGAGAGGTCTCAATCCTCCCTTGGCTCCCGCATCCTAGCCAAGACTGCCCAGGGTCCTGCCATAAGTAGCACCTGTTTCTGCAGGGTTTGTTCCAGTCACTCATTACTGGGACAGAACTGTCCCAAACAGGAGCATAAATAGTGGCGTAAGACAACAATCATTTTGTTACGCTCTGGGGTTCTGTGGGTCAGAAATTTGAATAGGATATGTTGGGGATGGCTGTGAAGACCTGAAAAGCTGAGGTGACTCAAACAACTAAGGGCTGGGGTCATTTAGAAGCTTCTTCACTTACCATCTGGCATCTAGGCTGAGACAACTTGAAGGCTGGGCTCAGCTGGGCACCTGGAGCCAGAGTGCCTACACACGGCCTCTCCATGTGGCTTGGGCTTCCTCACAGCCTGTGACTGGGCTCCTGAAGCAAGTATTCCCAGAGGGAGCATTCTGTGAGGGCCAGATGGGGATTGCCTGGTCTTTTATTACCTGGCCTCAGAAGTCACATGGTGTGGATTTTGCCGTACTCTGTTGATCAAAGCAGCCATAAGCCCGCACCTTGAAGAGAGGAGTGTCCAAGATTTTAAGACCGTGTTTTAAAACTGCCACAGGAATCTTACCACCTTCTCACCAGTCCCAATCTGGAGTTAACCTGAAGTAAAATCTGCCACCTTCAGACCAGGACTTATGGGGAATTATACCTGTTCTCTTCTTCACTCTTTACTAATTGCACTTCAGAACAGAGTCTGCCATGCTTACGTTTTTTGAAGCACCTAGCACATTACCTGGCACACAATAAGTACTAAGCATGTTGGCAAGCAAGTGAATGAATGCACAAACACAGAGAATGGGTGTTTTCTGTGGCTGGCTTAGCACTGCTAAGTAGCTACAGGAAGATTTGAACTTTCTATCTATTAAGGTCAAAGTTTCTAACCGGTTTTCATTCATATTCTGCCTGCTAAAAGCTCTGGGTTAGGAATAGATTCCTAGGGAAGAGACATGAGTATGAAGATAGAAGTTGTATGCTATGTTAGGGAATATCGGTAATCTGGTTTGACTATAGCAAATAATTTCTGTATTTTCCTAGGACAACGGTACACTAAGGCTAGAATAAAGTTAGATTAGAGTGTAAGGACCTCGCTGTAGGCCGGTGAGTATAGATACTATTCATTAATGAAGAGTCATCAAATATTGTTGAGCGGGAGAGTGCATGTAATAGGAGCTATGAACTAGGAAGATGCCATTGCCCCAGTGACATTCAAAACAGAGTAGGGAACCCCAAAGATAGGGAAAACAGAGGGTTCGAACTTCAGGTATGCAACCAAGGCCTGGACTGAGCTAGAAACTGCAGGAAAGCCAGCAAGGGGAGGGATGTGAGTGATTGTGACGTTAGCAAGTGTTTGGGGCCCTGTGAGTGGTGACAAAAAAGAGAATGTAAAAGATGATGCAACAATTGTATATATTTGGAGACAAAGTCTGTTGCTCAAGCTAGAGTGCAGTGGTTGCAGCTTCAAACTCCTGGGCCTAAGTGATCCTCCTGCTTTCATCTTCCCAAGTAGCTGGAACTACAGGCGTATGCCACCATACCTGGCTGATTGTTTTACTTTTTGTAGAGACGGAATCTCACTATGTTGCCCAGGCCGATCTCAAGCTTCTGGCCTCCAGCAATCCTCCTGCCTCAGCCTCCCAAAGCACCGGGAACACTCTTACATTGTAGGGACTAATTTCTATAATTTCGTTATGAAGATTCTCAAGTATACCAAGTTTAAACACACATATGGTGAACACCTATATTCCCTCCTCCTAGATTACAAAGTTAACATTTTCCTGTATTTGTTTTATCACCTATCTGTTCGTCCTTCCCTCATCAATCAGTCCATCTTGTTTTTGTGATATGTTTAAGTCACAGACATTAGAAAATTGTAAATGTTCCCCTAAATACTTAAGCATGTATACCATTACCTAGAGTTCAATATTGTTTACATTATTTTTCTTTGGAGGTAAAACTTAATTACAGTGAAATGAAAAAATCTTAAGCACACCATTAGATGACTTTGGACGAAAGCGTGCACCTGTGCAACTCAAGCCCCTTTCAGGATTTGACATTACCATTATCCTGCAGAATTCCTTTATCTTTCTTCCCAATTTCTGTCCCCACTCTCCAGAAGCAACCATTGTTCTAATATTTAAGGCACAGATTTTTTTTGCCTCCTAGAACTTCATATAAATGAAATTATATGGTATATGCTCTTTGACTTAATGTTTCTTTCGTTTGGCCTGTTTTTGAGATTTATCCATGTTGTTGTGTGCATCAGTCAATTCCTTTTTATTGCTGAAGAGTATTTCGTTTATGGCTATATCGCAGTTTATCCCATTTCCAGTTTTTGGAAAAAAGTTGTTTCCAGTTTTGGTTTATTCCGAATAAAGCTGCTATGAATATTTTTGTATAGATCTTTTTGGGTAGACATACGTTTTAATTGAGTCTGTGTTTAGTTTTGTAAGAAACTGCCAAAGTGTCTGCTTCCACACTGATATACCTATTTTTCCAGTGTATCACAATCTAGTTGCTCCACATCCTCATCAACATTTGGTATTGTCAGTCTTTTAAATTCTAGCCATTCTTTGGATACTGTATAGCAGTATTCTATTGTGGTTGTAATTTGCATTTCCTTGCCCATAGTAAGCACTATTATGTGCCTATTGAACATTTATGTATCTTTCTTTCTGAAGTGTTATTCAAATATTTTGCTCATTTAAAATTTTGTGTTGTCTTTTTATTATTGAGTTGTAGAAACTTTTTATTCTGAATACCAGTTCTTTATCAGATATGTGATTTGCAAATATGTTTTTCTAATTTGTAGCTTGCCTGTTCATTTTCTTTCTTAAAGTAGAAGTTTTACATTTTGATAAGGTCTAATTTGTGTTTCCTTTTTTTGGCAAGGCTATTTTTTTCTGTGCCCAAAGAAACTTTTACCAACCCTCAAATTACCAAGATAATTGCCGTGTTTTCATCTAAAAGCTTTATAGCTGAAGATTTTATGTTTAGGTTTGTCGTCTATCTCAAATTAATTTTTGTGTATAGTGTGAAGCAGGGAATCAAGATTTCTCTCTCCCCCCCATGGATATCCAGTTGTTCTAGCCCCATTTGTTGCAAAAACACCTTCCTTTTTTTAAGGTACTGTTTTGATTCTCTTACAGATGAAGAAACTGAGACAGAGCTAGATTAAGTAACCACACCTGGCAGAAACAGATCTCGGATTTGAACCCAGGCAGTCTGGATGCAGAGCCTGTATTTAAACCATTGTGTTGTAATATCCTTTCTCACATGGATGACAGGTTTTCAACAAGAATGCAGGCAGCTCAGTGTAAAGCCCTGGTAGGGAATTCAGGAAGCAGGGGAGTCAGGAAGCAGGGGAGTTCAGTTTGGGATTGAGCTGGGGAGCCCATGAGATACCTGAGTGGATACATTGGGGAGAAGATAGAAAAAAGAAGGGAAACACTTGGAAGAATAAGTAGGGGAGAAGGGAGGTGGAGGCTGCTGAAAGGGGGTACTATTAAGTCTAACCTGGATTGCACCTTTTTTATTTAGCATCAGGGGATTGGTTCTCTGCCATGGCAATCCTGGTCTAGAAGAGTCATGAAATAGGCAAGATCCAGCTAGTCTAGATCTTTTGAATCTAGGTAGTAAGGGTGACATGAGCAAAAGTCATAAAGCCAGAGAAGATAAATAGATTAAGTTGGGATAGGGAAAGTCAGCAAACTTCACATTTAGGATGCCTACTCTCTGTTAGACAGAGCCGGCTTCACGTCTTAATCCAGGCCCTGCAGCTCACTCTGTGATCTCAGGCAAGTTACTTCATTTCTGTGCCTCATTTTTCCACCTCTGTAAAATAGACATAACACCAACCTCAGTGAATTAAAATAGACAATGGATTTAGGACCCTTAGAATAGTATCTGGCACATACACTCAATAATGGTATGTCAGCTATTTTAAGATTCAGTATTTTAAGAATGTGGTCAGGGCCCAGAATATAGTAGACCTTCAGGAAAACTTGCCGAATACTCAGATGAACTCCAGTGACACGGGTTTTCCAGTTTAAATTGTGTGACTGTGCAGTTTTAGAACAGATGGTCGTAAAGTTAGAGTAAGAAGCTAGGAGCATGAGCTGAGCTGGTCTGTAAATACTCAACGTGGTGCATGAAGCAGCCCAGAGTAGTGACATTGAAGCAGCATGGCCTTAGAGCCTTCCTTAGGAAGGGCACTGACTGCTGGCCCAGATTCTAGTGGAGCCCCTATGGGCCTGGGGCTCTGGAGTGGACAGGGAAAATGTTCCTGCTCTGAGTAAACAGAGAGCTCCCTGACAGTGAGCATGAGGATACCCCTGCCCATGGAAGGGATGGCACCTCCAAGTGTGTTTTTGCCCAGATGGACCACAGAAACCCATTGTCTATCCCTGGTTTTGATGACTATGTCCTGAAAGATCTAGCCACATTTCTAGAAAAACCCATTTAAATGGAGTTTGTAGGATTGACATTTTGAGTCCAGTCTGCTTTCCACATGGGCAGGAAGCAGAGTCAATTAAGTACTTGTCAAGTGCCTCCTGGGTACCTACTGAGACTGTGCTGGGTTAGGACAGTGTTTTCCTGCCTACTGGGAGCTCACAATGTAGTTAAGGAATGACACACACAAAGAGATGTGTAGTACCTGCCAGATGTAAATGGCCAAAGACAGCTTGGCAGAGTCATATGGATAAATGCTTTCTACAGGGGTTGTCACACCAGTGCTAGATATTCAGGCCCTCCAGCATCTACTCCAGCTCCAGTACCTTCTCCCTTCCAATAGTAATAACTGATATTTGAGTGTTCACTGTGAGGGCAGCACTTTAGAGCTGTTAACTCAACTTCTCCTTATCATGACCCCTTGAGAGGAGCTTTGTTAGTACCCCCGTGTTTCAGACGGGTGATCTGAAGGACAGACACCTACATACAAGCTTCCACAGGCACATTGCTGGTGAGCAATGGTGCTGGGTGTGAACCAGCTGTCTCGCTGCAGAGTCTACCTTGGTAGGCCCTCGGGGCTGCTTGGCTAGTTTCTCTTTCAAATACAGAGCAGGAAGGAGGATTATTGACATTTACTTTCATGATTTCAACATGCAATCACAGAGTTCAACCAGTTTTTTCTAAATATGGCCTTCTGTACATTTTGCCCTGGCACTGGCTCAGCTAAAGTATTCTTAATTTCAGAAGGGGAGGCAACAAGACAACTGCTGTTTTTTTTTTTTTGAGACGGAGTTTCGCTCTTGTTACCCAGGCTGGAGTGCACTGGCGCTATCTTGGCACACCGCAACCTCTGCCTCCTGGGTTCAAGCAATTCTCCTGCCTCAGCCTCCTGAGTAGCTGGGATTACAGGCACGCGCCACCATGCCCAGCTAATTTTTTGTATTTTTAGTAGAGACGGGGTTTCACCATGTTGACCAGGATGGTCTTGATCTCTTGACCTCATGATCCACCCGCCTTGGCCTCCCAAAGGACAACTGCTGTGTTTATTGACCTATTT